TTCTCAAGAACTTATAATCTACAGAAGCCGAAAGAAAAATCCAACACCTACCTCCTCTCTCGATCCCCCCTAGCTACGCACGATGTTCTTCGAATAACATTATAAGAATTTCCTTTCGTGCACTCCAAGAGATAAAAAAAATCATTTTTTTCCGTTTTAAAATTGGCAACGAGTTGATGAGCGCAACATATATGGTGCTCTGGGCACAAATTTTTTCGTGCGGTCATATTTCAAAAGCCATCGAATTGTTTCAGTCCAGTTCCTCTAGAGACCTTTTAGGGACAACCCAAGGTTGGTAGAACTGATGACTATTTTGTAGAGGAAGGTTGCCTCGATCGCACCCCGCGAGTAACCTTGAGTAACTCATGACGTAATAGGCCCTTTCTTTTGCACGAAAAGTGTAGCACTCTCGTACACTTCGTGTATGATATGTACGCCGGCGATTGGCCGGCGCATGTATTGAGTTGACAGTTGTCAGTATTTTCGATAAGATTTGAACCATTTTGAACTAAAAAATGTAAAAATGATAATTTGTTCGGTCACTTCTTGTTAAAATTCGTACAAGTGTAATGAGACTAGTGAATTTAGTTTGTGTTTCCATTAATTTCCATAAGATGAGTCTATTCGTGAGAAATGGATTCAATTTTGTGGACGTAATTTTAATTCATTTAATACCAAAACTTGGCGAATATGTTCTGCCCATTTCGATGCCGAGGATTTTGAACGGCACAAGCAGAATTGCTAAATCACACAGCAAAGAGAAGAAAACTCAAGGTAGAAATCCCATCAATAATACCAAATACAACAAGAGAAACACCATAAGTATGGAAGTTTGGAAAAATGATCAGAACCAGACCAGTTGTGAATGTTGAGATTCTTGCTGAACGGGTAAAATGGACATCAGAAAATATCACACGTGTTTTCAAGTTGAGATATTTGAGCAAGAGTACGTTACCTAACGAAGAGGAGCTATGTTTATTTGAGAGATTCCTTGAACTATCCTTTATTATAGGTTCACTCATAATAGTAGTGTTATTTTTCATTAATTTTGTTCAGAATCATATTTTGTTATTTTTTTATGCTCAAATACTTCGATCAATTGCTCTGTTTTTGACTACAATATAATCAAACAATGAAATACTATTTCCTCTTGTATTTTCTATAGGTATCTAGGAAAGTTTGTTAATTTTTCAGAATACAGAGTTATATTGATAAAATAAGTGATCTGTTGTGTACGAATATTGGTCCACTGCTACTACTTCTGGATCATCAGTTGATTATTCTTATATTTTCTGTAGTTTCTTGTTCACATTATCTGATTTGCAGGATATTTATAGGATGAGTAGGTTCATAATCAATGCATAAGTAATCACTAGCTCCATAATTATGCTCCATACCTCAAAACACACATACCTGGTACCACGACCTGGTAAATAGCCCCTGGAACAAAATTTCAGATAGGTTTTCCTCTCTGTACTATACTTATCCATCCAAAATTGCCTTCTCATTTCGAAGATTGAAGGTATTATACAGAAGTATATGTAAATATCCATATTTTATAATGGTACTTATAATTATATTCTATAAATTAATATATGCTGAGCAGAGAGCATACCAAAAAGTTGGTATCATGTTTGTATACTCTATTTGGTAAACATTTCATGACATGTCGCTTTAAGGTTGACAACTTGTCGTCTTACTGCCTGTGACGTCACGAGTGACCGTTTCCCCCCTTGCCGCACTATCGATCGAGGCAACCTTCCTATACAAATTATAATCAGTTCTACCAACCTTGGGACAACCTATAAAACAGGTTTTTATTTCTGTTCAAGCGGAGTTTCCATCAAAATTAGAAAAATATATTGTACGTAACATTGTTTATGTTGTCACAATGATGGAAGTAAGATATGACATCTGTCAATTATGGAATTGTCGCAGATTTTTCGAATTCAGACTTGAATAATCCCACTATTACATATATGTTCCGCGTACCTAAAATGCCATTTGCCATTTTATTTCCACTCGTCACAGCAGCAATAGCAGCATCACCATCTAGCAAGAAAATGTAGAATCAACGTCTCGCTCGTTGTGACGTAGAGAAATCATAGTAGGCGGTCGAGTGATTTTTCTGAAATTTTCAATACATAATAATGGCCGAATACACGCACCATATCTTACTTCCATCATTGTTGTCACCAATGGACGGAACTGAATGTATTATATTTCCGACGTACCGCTGAATTTTGGTCTAGGCGTATCTCAATTCAGAATGCAATTTTTTGTCACCAAGAGGCGTAAATTAAGATAAGCCTCTTCGTCATGAAACTCTTTTTGTTTTTACCTATGGGCGTAACTAACGTTTTCCTCCATTCGAGCTCATGTGAAGCAATTAAATACAGTGTGAACAATCACGTGATTGAGAAGTGAAGCAGCAATATTTTATAAACGAAGATTAGGCGTATTTTTGTTTGACTATGAACAATAATGGCTTCTACAGACTGCTCCTGTTTCACTTGGTCAGAAGGCCAAGGAAAAAGAGGTGTATTCGAGATTTCCACTGCTTTAAATATACTTTTGAACTTAAACAACAGACAAGGAGAATACATAGTATTCCTTTTTGCTGATAGTTGCAGTGTGCAAAATGATAACTCAATTGTTGCTTCCTGTCTACTTGATACAATGCATAACAGTAAAAATTCGAAAGAAATCTATCTCCGATTCTTTACGCCAAATCATGGACAAAACGAAAGGGATTCAGCCCACAGCGTAATTTCTCGTGCCAAAAAGCTGGAGATTTGATGGTACCTAGCCAACTACATCCTGTGTTTCGACTATCTAGAAGACAACATCCCTGTGAAGTTCCTTGTTTGAAAAATTCGGATTTCCTAGATTTCAAATCATTTTCCAAAGATTTGCGAATTTCAAGAACTCGTAGTGATGACACTCTTTAGGAATTCAATTGAACTTCTATGGTGGAGTTTGCAGTAAAAAAAATGAGCCACTGAAAATGTTTTTCAAAACAAGTCACTTGCAGGTTGAGTATCGGTCCATTAAACAACGTCAAGCAGAATGTGTCTTTAATTCGGATATTCCAAAATTATATTCTGTTCCTCCTCCATTGCCTGCTGGTAAATACGAAGACTTGATGTCCCTTTGCTCAGGTAGTACTCCCGTGATGTTTGATAGTTGAAACATAAAAAAATATCCGGTACCAATATGCGTAACTGAAGAAAATTGCGGAAATGGCGGCTATGTCACGTGATACTGATGTTTTTTCCATGAAAATGTATTGATATATCCCTAGTGCAGAGCACAAGCAAAGATTACTGATAGTTTATCTTCTGTAGTCTATGGCACAAGTTATAAAACAAAGTCGATTATAAACTGGACGTCAATTGAAACGTTAATAGTGAAATTTGGCATCAAGTTTGACTTCTCGTAATTTCTAAAATATTGAACGAATTTTGAATTGCCGCCCAGATTCTGAATGCCTTTTTCATCGTCTTTCGAACCGTTCCTTACAGCTTCTTCTAAATTGATCAGGACCCGTGATAAAGGGTGAGACAAAGTTTCGTGCATTTTGAAAAGGATTTCTCCGCCCCCCCATTTTGTCGGAAGACCACGATGCTCATATTTTATTCAGACATTTCATAAATAGCAACCATAAGAGTTTTTGCCAAAAACTACTGTGGTTTCCGAAAAAAATTTTTTTTTGCATTTTTTTAAATGGACTGATTACCTGTATCCTCAAAACGATGAATCAGTCTATTTATTGTCATGACTGACTCATTGAAAATGGTACTTAAATGAGTTTGGGTATATCCTAATCGTCAAAACCTGAAATAATAATTATCTGTACTGAATCATAGTTTATATCATTATAGTGATCTTACCTAATGATATTTTCCATTTCGACCCGATTTGAACGAGGCATCTTTGAATTTTTTAGGACCTGAATTAGACTGACGTTTTCATGAAAATTGGCAATTGATATAACCTCTATGCATACCTACATTGTTTCAACAATACCTTGTTATAGAAACAAGGTATCGTTGTTTGTTTCTGTTGATGAGATGTGTTGATTTACTGCTCACTAAGGTTGAAAACTTTTATCATAGACTGCGAAGTAATAAATTATTGATTGTTTTTGAGTAACCTGGTATACATATCTGCTCCAACGCTTTCCTGAAATGCATAAAAGCACCCATTTATGGAACTCCTCTAAAATTAGTCTATTTAAAAAAAAAATACAAAAACATTTTTGTTTCGGAAACCACAGTAGTTTTTGGCAAAAACTCGAAAACGTCCCGAGGTATGGTTGCTATTTATGAAATGGCCGAATAAAATATGAGCATCGTGGTCTTCCGACAAAATGGGGGGGCGGAGAAATTTTTTTCAAAATGCACGAAACTTTGTTTCACCCTGTATCATGGGTCCTGATCAATTTAGAAGAAGCTGTAAGGAACGGTTCGAAAGACAATGAAAAAGGCATTCAGAATCTGGGCGGCAATTCAAAATTCGTTCAATATTTTAGAAATTACGAGAAGTCAAACTTGATGCCAAATTTCACTATTAACGTTTCAATTGACGCCCAGTTTAGTATAACTATTTCTCAATCGATGTTTGATTATACCGCAGAATCTTTAAATTGCTCTCCTGAAAAATTGGAAAAACTCATTCACGCCTTTAGGTAACGGGACCGACGAGTTAGGAAACGCATTTTGTGTAACGATGGCATTTTGCGAGACGAGCGAAGCGTTTCCTAATTGGTTACGTTAATATCTAGTATAAACTATACAATTATTTGGCCAATGTTGATTTTTTCCGCACTATTTTGGGAAATATATATATATAGTGCAAGTGGGTATTAGAGCAAAGTCGTGGATAACAATATTCAAAGTCAGCCCAGCTGTATGTAGCTCTATAGGATCATATAATTCAATACGAATTCAAATTCGCGAAGGGGCCATCATTCACACAATAATGAAATTCGTACTCACCCTTGTACTGGACCTTGTTGAATACGCTGGTGATAATCCTCAGCTCGGGATTTGGCGTGTCGCCAATCTGTAAACGTGACAAGAACTCATTCAACATATTATTCCAGGACATAAATATAGATAGACCTCCCAACCCTTAGCCCATCCCATCGCGTGACCAAAATCACTTCTCTGCCTCTATCCTCACTCACACGTGCCACACACGCATTCTTGAGGAGGGCGTAAAAAACTATTTCGAACATTCATCCAACTATTTATTCTCGGTATATTACTAGTAGAATGTTTTATAAGGATCGAAAGGGACACTTTGTGTCATACAAATTTTGCATTTGCGAGGCTGAGCGGAGCGTCTAGCGAAGCCGAGCGAAAGCAAAATTTGCGAGTCAGACAAAGTCACTTCAGATCCGAATGGAACATGCTATATATTTTTTCTGCAACTGAAAGAATCAACTGAAATGAATATAAGTGAAGTCACCACCGATGTGACTCACTTGAGAGATTATAATAATAATATGAGTAAGTAGATAGAATTAAGACCTCAAACTAGAGACTACCTTACTTCGTTACAATTTGTGTTGACATACATCATGTCATAAGAGACTACAGTCACGAATTCAATACTACCAGCAATGTGGATGCTGTGCCATATGTATGCAATGTAACAAATGATCCGTGTGGTGAGAATATCCTACCTGAATTTACTCAGGTTTATTAAATTTTCAAGGATGCTCGAATTGTTTTTGTGTATTCTATTGACGTTATATCTATGATAAAACAAACAAAAAAATCTAAAAAATCCGGAGTTTACAAACTTAATTGCAATGACTGCAACTCCTCTTATGTTGGTCAAACTGGGCGGAGTTTTGAAACTAGAGCCTCTGAACATAATAGAGCGATTAGGAGGAATAGGAACATCAATAATTTACTCCTTCGCAAACCATATAATTGAATCTAACCATAATTTCAATATATCTGACAACATGGAATTCCTTCACATTTGTAATAAAGGCTCCAGGTTGAACCTATTGGAAATGCTAGAAATTCAAAAATGTATAAACAATCCCAATTTCACATGTCTTAATGATCAAACCAACTTTGAACGTAACCTCATTTTTCGTTCTATGAAATTTCAATGATCAACATAACCCAGGTTGATCTACTGTTATTCTTCTCCCAATCTCTTGTTCTCATTGTTTCAAATTTTTATTTTGTTTTGGTTATTGTTAATTAATTTATCATATTGACGTCACTTGTCGGTGTCATATTCTGTGTCACCACCTCAGTTATTAGTTTCATGTCAGTTCCGGTTGACTTTGACATGTGTCACTTATTCTTTGACTATTTATTTCCTTGTGATTCATGATGTTTCTGGTCCCTTGAATTCTATCTTAGCTTCCATTTGCTTTTCGCATTTCTTGATGAATCTCACGTGAGAGAATTTTTTGAATAATAATTTTCTGATGTACTTCGCCAATAACCCAATTTTAATTTGGTTTTACTGGACATTCTCCAGATTGAAAACCACTTGAATATGCTGGACTGTTAACTGAATTTTTTGGACTTAGCTTTTCAATTGTAATTTTTCTCAATATGTTATAAGGTTAGTATATGATTGTATGACTCTTTTTACCCCATAACATTGTCTATCATTATATTTTAGGTACTCATATATTACATCAATTTTGTGTCTGATGATGGCCTGTGGCCGAAACTATAGTAACACACGTCGCTTATTAAATGATTTTGTGGTCGACAGACTTTGGGATTTTCATTGTTTTTTCTTTATATCTATGAATCCATTTGGACCATGTGCCAGCCCTAATAGCATCAATTTGGAGCTGAAATCTTCTACTTTTGTCCTTGTATAATACATAACAAGTTATTTCGTTCGGAGTATTGGGCAGTTTATCTACCGATTTTCGCACACTTGGAATAGTTATTTATGTACCAAGGACGAAAAACTGTCTATATCATAGGCGAGTGCGCAAATTGATAGGCCGAGGCCTTAGCCGAGGCTGGCAATCAGGCGAGACAATAGACAGTTTTTTGCTGAGGTGCATATTGAATTTTTTCGTCGACCTCAAACATTTATCTCCACATCAATCTATCGGATTTCGTGAATAATTAATTTGACAACAGCAGATGACACTTGTTGTCAAATCACTCCTGATTTCTTAGTTCAATTTTCATTTCATTAATAAATATATTTGAATTTAAATTCTTGGGTATGCAAATGGATGAATATCTGAACTGGATTCCACACTATGAACATTTGGTTTCAAAATTGTGCTCATTGATCTCATACCTCTTTAGGAATCTGAGAGTCGTTTTAAATAAAAATGCTCAGGTTGAGTCCAGGTTGCGTTATGGTGTTTGCTTGTGGGGCAACTCAACAATGGGTAGAAACGTCTTTATTGAACAGAAGGCTATTTTACGATGTATATTCAATACTCCTAGAAGTTGTTCATGTAGAACTCTATTTATAAATCAGAAAATTCTAACTCTCACAAGTATATTTATATATGAAATTTCAGTTTACGTATTTACTAATAAAAGCGACTTCATTATAAATAGTGATATTCATGATAAGAACACTCGTCAAAAACAAATGATACATGTCAAAGCTGCAAAATATAAAATTACTCAAAATGCTCCTAAATGCATTGGACCTAAAATATTCAATCATCTGCCAGAAATCATCAGGAGAGCTGAAAATTTATCAATATTCGAAAAACGTCTGAAGTCGCTTTTGTTGATCAACTGTTTCTACACACTCGATGAGTTTTTATCTAGTCCTGTGATCCACTCTATTATGTACGTGCTATATTGTCTAGACCCATAACCCCTTTTGCTTGTTTTTATTTTATCTTATTTATTTAGTTTTAGTTATAAGTTAGATATAAGGTGCTGACTATGCCTATACAAAATGAAAATTTTTTGTCATTTTAAGGAAAATAAAAGATTGATTGATACCAAGTTAAAAATCGAGATTGTCAGATTTATTTTATTATATATATATGAATTCCAAGGAAGAATAATCAGATAAACCTATAAGGTCAAAACATTATATTCTTTTGGTAAACAGGAAAAAAGGTTATGTTTACATATCATTTATATTATTGAAAAATGTTTTAAGAAAAATTATGAAAAATTTGAATGGGGACCGCAATTATTGCGGAACCCCTTTGTTAGGGAACTTTATGAACTGATAATAATTTTGTCGATTTTCTCTGAATACTAATTAACATGATATTTAAAGTTCCCTAACAAAGGGGTTCCACAATAATTGCGGTCCCCATTCAACTTTTTCATAATTTTTCTTAAAACATTTTTCAATAATACACACACTGGCACAATTAGGGGAACGGGTAAAATTCACACTAAGTTTGACATCAATTTTCTCTCGCACCGATCACTCGATTCAAATTTGTTTTTCACGAATTGTAGCTTCATTCTTCACGAATACATCTGAGAAATAACCACCTCCAAACGATTCGTCTTTATATCATATACAGGGTTGTAAAGAAAGTACGGATTTTTCGGTATTCTTTAAGACATCCTGTGGAGTGAACCACTGATTATTGAAACGATTTTCCAACACCAAATTATCGCCCAATCTATCCCGAATATTTTCGTTTTTTATTCATCTTGATATCCCAATTATCCAAGAAAATATATAGAGTTTCAAAGAAGAGGTGGATATTGGTATTAATTTTACCACCTCGAAACTCGAACTGGGGAGAACGTGTCGTTTTTCAACTTGTTTCTGTGAGGATTCTTACTTCAAGATGAGAATTGTTCACAGTTTTACCTACTGTTTAAAGACACATATACGAATACTCTCATGAATATGCAGGGGTGATAAAAGTTGCTCCAATGTTCTTTTGGTGAAATGCTATTTTTGTTCATCAACGTTGGCTATTTTGTTAATGTCATTAATTATTGTCAAAGTCAAGCGATTCACAATTCATAAATTTGATTAATGAAAATTCAACGTGAGAGATAATGACCAGTGGGCCAATGTTCTTTTAACATATGAGAGTCGCATCTGCACCAATTCAATAGATAGCAGGGAAAGACTATATCGCCGAGGTGAACAAAATGAACAATTTGATTTTACTGCTTCTATCTCCTATGGCAGAGGTTTTAGTCATGGTTAGGTTAGGTTAGTCAAGAAACGACACATTTTCAGATCCAATTTGAGTTTTGAGGTGTAAAATTAATACCAATATCCACCTTTCCTTTGAAACTCTGTATTTTCTTGAATAATTGAGATATCAAGATGAATGAAAAACGAAAATATTCGGAATAGATTGGGCTCCAATTTGGTGTTGAGAAATCGTTTCAATTATCAGTGGTTCAGTCCACAGGATGTCTTTAGAAATACCGAAAAATCCGTACTTTCTTCACACCCCTGTATATGATGGAAAGACTCATCGTTTGAAGGTAATTATTTCTCAGATGTATTCGTGAAGAATGAAAGCTACATTTCGTGAAGAAAAAAATTTGAATCGAGTGATCGGTTCGACAGAAAATTGATGTCAAACTTAGTGTAAATTTTGCCCGTTCCCCTAATTGTGCCAGTGTGTATGAATGATATGTAAACATAACCTTTTTTCCTCCAGAACAGGTGAGTTTTTTAGACCTATCGTTGTTGAGGGGTTTGTCTGACATTGTTCTTTTTTCCCTCACTTTAGTAGCTTCAAAGCTTCGAAACATGTCCCTGTAAGATTGCTTACAATAAAGTATAGCTTTGGTGGATTCGACTGTAAGAGTTTCGTCCTGTCCCATTGAACATATCGTTAAGAAAGCTTTGCGGAATTTGGGTTTCATAATGAGGGTAACTAAGCAATTTCGATCTCAAAAATGTTCAATATTACTGTACAACTGTCTTGTTCGCTCTCATCTTGAAAATGTATCAATAATTTGGAATCCACATTATGTAAAATATATTGAGAGAGTTGAGAGAGTTCAAATCAAATTTATTAAGTACTTAAATTTTAGATTCAACAGAGTGAATCATTACAATTCGTACGACTACAATATTGTAGAATATGATATGTTTAA